CCACACCTGGCAAGCCTGTGTGTTGTAATTCTTGTGCTATACTATCTCCTTCAACTGTATCTTCTGTTGTTGTTGAGACACGGTCCTAGCATATAGACCAGGCTGGCCTCGAACTCATAGCAATCTTCCTGCCTCAGCCTCCTTAGAGCTAGAAGCATGGACATGTGCCACTATGTGCAGCTAATGAGACCTGTGTCATGGTCAGCATTTTAAAAAGAGAATATATCAAAGTGTGGCGTATAGTGGTATTTATATTAAATGAACTCATGGATGTATCTTGGATAGTAAAATATTAGTAAAATGTATTTCTTACTAAGGTCATGGTCAGAGTTGAGAGCTGCTGATGTCACCATGGTAGTGGTGGGCATCCACTTCCTACAATGTGTTGGCATCTCTAGGCTGGGTGCAGTGATTTATTTAAGCCAGTGGTCCTTGCTATTGGAGAGGCTGAGGCAGGAGGATCACAAATTTGAGGCCAGCCCGGGCAACTCAGCATTACCCTGTTTCAAAACTGAAAATTAAAAAGGGCTGAGGATGCAGCTCGGTGGTAGAGTCCCCCTGGGTTTGATCCCCCATGCCACAATAAAATAAAGTAGAATAAGCAGATAAGAAGGGCTGGGCATGCAGCTGGAGGTACAGCTCCCCTGGGTCTGACTACTAGTATAGTAAAGTACCCCTCCCTCCAAAAGGAAACAGAGAAGTCTGTCCTAGTCAGAGAGCCCAAATGGTAATTTTACGATTTGGCTAGTTTTGTTCTATTCTAAGAGGCTTCTACCAAAGGGAAACTTGAACAATAAGATTTCCTTCCTAAGCGCTGAACCCCTCATCAGAGCCCACAGCGGGGACAAAGCGGGCGGCCCTGGACGGCAGCCTCTCTCCCCGGCCCGACCCGCCTTCCGCACCTCCCCGGGCGGCCGCTGTCCGTGTGGGGCCCGGTGGGGCCGGGGGTCCCCACAGATGACCCCTGGGACACGCGAGGGGCCGCAGCGGGGGTGCTGGTTTGACCCGCAAAGGACGGTTCCTTAAGCAAAGGGCCGCAAACGCTGCGGACCAGGCTAGGATGGAAACGAAGAAACACACACCAGGGAGACGGCTGCTTTTTTCTTTTTTTTTTTTTTTCCTTTGAACATGAGCATTGGGTTGGTTACCGTACACATCCGAAGGCCCGGCATCTCAGAGAAACCAGTGAGCGGCACACCTTGTACCAGAGTCTCACAAGAATAAAATATACAATGCTACATTGAGTGGTTAAAAATACACAAAAAGTAGTTTTAACAATCTATAAACTTTTTATACTTAAAATCATGATTGAGTTGAAATTAAAAAAAAAGTGCATTTCAATTGCTAAAAAAAAAGTCCCGGTGTAGTTAACAAAGGGGAGACGGGTACGCGAGGGAGGGACGGCGGGAGCAGGCTCCTCGGGCAGCTCTGCGCGCCGGCCCGCCGGGCTTCCGGCCGCGCCTCCGCAGAGGTAGGAGAGGGCACGGCCCACGCCGACGTGGCCTAGGTGCCCCCGCCGCGTGGCACCTCCAACCCTCAGGACCCAGCAGGCAGAGCAGGGCCAAGCAGCTTCTATTTCATCAGACCCCTTCGGACGGTCAACATTCAACAACAAGCTCTGTAAACCTAACGCTGAACAGTCCCCGGCAGGCAAACTGGACCTTCTTCTGAGAAATGAGGGAAAGTGCACGTGATGTGGGTACCGTGGAGGGAAAGGGCAGTCACAACCAGCACGCGGCCCCCGGCACCTGCGCCGCCCGCCCTGCCCGCCGCCTCCCTCTCCCCGTGCCCAGCGCCGGGTTAGCAGCGGGCGGCACTCGGGCGCTGGCCCTGGCTGCGGGGACAGAGGCCGGGCGGCTCGGACGGCCCCTGCAGGCGGCGACGCCTCCGGCTCCGGTACTAGGTGAGGGGTCCCGGCCCCGCGTCCCCTTCGCGGGGCACCGAGCTGCTCTCTGAGAAGCTGCTGCGACCAGCACAAGCGGGACTCTGGACCGGGCTCAAGGGAGGCACGGCAGGCAGGCAGGCAAGCCGCCCCCGCGCTACTCACAAGAGGGCCTGCACCGCGCTCGGTCTCTGCTCGGGTCTCGGGGCTGAGCAACCACTGATTCAACGCGCAGGGAAAACGCCTTCACAAATAAGCAAGGATCCGAGGGACCGAAACCCAGAGACCTGAAAGCGAGCTCAGAGAGACAGAGAGAGAAGTACTTTATTGCCTCCTTGTGGACAAAGCCAGTACTGCTGATGGAACAGAATCGGCCCAGGCAAGAAACGAGCAAACTGCACATGCAGATTTATGCAAGATGGAGAATGCAGCTGGCTTTCTGTGGCCGGATCTCTAGCCTTGGAGATAAAACGAGAAGTAAACACCAAAATTATGCCACACTGTCGCTTTCTTTTCAGCCCAATGAGGCAACGAATCAAGCATGGAAAGATCTTGGGAACAGGGATTAGGAGGCCTAGGACCATCAAATATTTTCTGCCAACTCTTTTTTTTTTTTTTTGTCTTTTTGAGACAGGGTCTCGCTGTGAAGTTCAGGCTGGCCTTGAGCTCACTTTGCAGCCCAGGCTGGTCTCGAATTCACAACGATCCTCCTGCCTCAGCCTCCCAAGTGCTGGGATTACAGGCCTGCGCCACCAAGCCCGGCTCTGCCAACTTTCATATGCAGCGAGGCATGGTGTCAAGTCCTACGGGGGATGTGAGCTCGGACCTCTGTCCTTCCAATCACCTGTATAGGACGGGCAGAGGGGACGCCATATTCGTGAAACATGTCCGGCCTCAGGCAGCTCCCAGTCCAGACCAACCCGCCAAGGTGAGGACCAAGCACAAGGGTTGAGCAAAGCCCAGCTCCCATTTCTTCAGGCCCCATGTGTTCTACGGAGCCACTTCCGGGGGATGGACAGCCGCCCCGGTCTCAGCAGAGAAGCGGAGCAGCCTGCAAGTGATGTGGAGCTCGGAGGCCGTGGGCCGCGTCCTACCGAAGACCTGGGCCGGACAAGCAGCGCCCCTCTCAAGGTCTCGGCCCTCCGCCAGCGCAAGCCCGGTGGCCACACGGGTCCTTGGCTGGGGCTCTCAGGACGGAAGCAACAGGCCAGAAAGCGAACTTCGGGCAGCCAGTTACGCTCGAGATGCAAATGCGTAGGTCACTCGGGCAGCAGGGCAGAGGAGCACAAAGAGGCCCCGCCCCTGCTCCCGCCCTGCGCATCTGCCTCCTGCCCTCCGTGTTCCGGTTCCCGCTCCCGGCAGCCGCGAGGCCTTCCAGTGTGCACACTCCGCACCAAGAAACACAACCACCTCTCATGCTGTCGCCCTTTCCCCCCGACAGACGGCAGGAAGCCTGTGTCAGCGGCGGCCCTTACAGCCCTATGCCGTGTGGTTATCCGTCTTCAACACCTGAGTACTGATCACTTTAAGGAAAGAGGTGTGAAATTTTAAGTCAGGAAGCAAAGATTTTGACTAAGGCCAAAATATTTGATAGCTTTCATCTCCCTATAAAAAATGGAATTCAATGTCCTCATTTTCAGCAGTTCCTTTGTTTTCACCCATGGAGAACTTAGGAAGCCAGAGACCAGTACACAACACCAACTGAGGTTCTGGCCGTGAAACATGAGCCAGCTGCTAAGTTTTATCAGCGAGATGCTCATATCATATGCAGAATATGCTTCAACCTCCTTTTTATTACATCCTTCATATATTACGCAGCAATCATACTTTTCAAATGCATTAGATGAGAACAGCTAGCAAAGAAACAGGTTTTTGACGGGTGGGGGGTGGATGAGCGAGGCAGGTCAGAAGTCAGCGAAGGACTTGTGCTAAACCTGGAGAGCACTTTTAAATTCATCTGCCTAAAATAAGACTACGGGGCAACTTGCAAACCACTGACGGAAGGCGGAGACCACAGGGCAGGAGCAGCATTCAGGGCCTTCTCACCGGGAGGGGCCGGCAAGCGTTCAGGAAGACTTCAGGGGGAGGAGATGACCTCCGATCGCAAAGGTGCAGCCAGCTTCGGGTGAGAGCACGCAGGTGAGCAGTGAGGCGACGCTGACACCTCCCAACGCTAGCGATGTACCGTGTGAGGGGATGAACAAGTGGAAAACAACCCAAAAACGACACGGAGGAAGAAGACAGAAGCACGCGCCCGACCCCAGCCCGGGCTGTCGCTGTTTCTCAGGTTCAGCACACCGGAGAAGGGAGGCTGCCAGCACTCACGCACAGCAAAGTCATCAGAGGTAGGCGTCCGGGCAGGGGGAGGGCTCCGGGTCCTGATTTGAAGGCACTCAGGAAGACAGCGAGAGACACGGAGGCAAAGGCTCGCTTATGTATCCTCGAGACACGGAACCTATGCCAGAACACCGTGCAGACACACGTGACCCACACAGCTCACAAGGGAGGAAGAAACCCATTCACGGGTCATTTCTTACACCAGCGCGGCTTCTAGTGAGGGGAAAAGAGAAGTTTGTTTTCTGGATATACAACTCTGCAAGGTAGTTTTGACTTCAATACAGAATTTGAAAAAAAAAATACAGACTTTGATAAATGGTATGTAATCTGGTTCTTTAAACCAACTTATTGAAGCTAAAGCTTCGAAGTTGGGACATCTAAGAGTGCCACTTTCCTTTGAGTCTTGTAAAACCTACTAAGACAGAAAGATCTGATTATAAAGTCTATAAAAAGTCTAGAGGGCCGGGGGGATAGCTCAGTGGCACAGCGCCTGCCTGGCAAGCGTGAGGTGCTGAGTTCAATTCCTGGTACCAAAAAAGAAAAAAAAAATCTAGAGAGTATAAAAGTAGAGAACTACGAAAGTGGATATATCGATATCGAATGGCAACTCATATGGCTTCCATAGAAAGGGTAGAGAGGATCTCTGGCTTGCTTCATCGAGGTAGTGTCCAGAGCTGCAGGTCGGTACTTCCACACATGACACATGCAGTCAATGGGGACAGAGTTATTGCATAATAATGCCACTATCTCTAATGGCTATGACCTTTATTTCTTGAAAAAAAAAAAAAAAAAAGAAAAGGAATTTCCTATCTTGGTTTAGGGCAAAGGAAAATTAAAACTCAGTGTTTACTTTCTTACAGTGTGAAGAATTCCAGGTGAGTTGTTTTTCTAAAAAGCAGTCAGCTGATGAAATGCTTGGCTGTAACATGTCCCCCTTTTCCTTAAATACTCTCCTACCGTCCGGAACAGCACTCATTACTCATCCTGTGGGTCAGCAATGCAGTCCAAGTTGTCTTTTCCATACAGTGGCTCAAATAAACGGACTTCTCTCTTTAGTTTTAAGTTTTTTTTTTTTAAACATAAAAAGTCTACATACCCCATCGTGTTGTCGTCACTGAACCACGCAGGATGGGTAAGTAGAAACACACATCTGCAGTGTATTCTAGCTCTGCTTCAGATTCTCAAAATTTAAAACTGCCAGTTTAAAAAAAAAAAACAAACTGCCAGTAAAATCAAAATGAAACTATACATATCCATTCAACAAAAATAAAAACCGGAACAACATCAAGAATCTTTACCACCATCTCTGAGGAGCACTCTGCCTTCACTCAGTATGCCAGGGACAAATTCGAGGGCGAGTTCTAACCACAGTAACAAGGTGCTTCCCACAGCTGCGGTTCTGAGAAGAGAAGGTGCGACTGTGTTCCACGCTCAGCCACTGATCTAGGGTGGCTCACGAACACGTGGACTACAACAGCATCGGAAAGGGATCTGCAAAGGTTTCTTGGAACTACAGTAAAGTTTTATGCAGAGACCCCCCCATTTGCTAAAAATAAGAATGTAATTATAAATATGTGTAGAAATGAAGCCACATGCTTTGAGCTGATGTTCAAATTCTAAAACTTCAGTATGAGCCTACCTGATTCAACTTGAGAAAGCAGCAGCCTTTTTTTTTTTTTTTTTTTGGAGGGGGCATTGAGGCTCGGTCTTGCTATGTAGTCCAGGCTGGCCTTGAATTCACAGTGATCCTCCTGCCTCAGCCTCCTGCCCAAGTGCTGGGAGGACAAGGGCAGCAGCCTTTTTTAATGCTAAAAAAAAGTTTATATTTGAATGATACACCTATGAAAAAAGGATAGAAAATGCAAAAACCAAGCAGCCACCAGAAATGCAATGGCAACTCAGAAAAGCCCTTGGGGAATTTTCCTCAAATCCGTAACCCTGCAAAGATACAAGCCCTTGAAGACATTGTAAAATGCAGTCATGAGAGACAGCCTCAGCTTGCTGTTTGTGGAACGCTGCCTGCGGCCTATACTGTGAAAAACATAGCATGAGAAGTGCTGAGAACTCCAGCTCTCCCGGGTCTCTCCATGAGCAGGTGGGCGGGTAAAGGGTTCTGCGGCAGACGTGTGAGAGAGCACCGAACAATGCTGCTTTACCGAAGGAGAGGACCCCACTTCCTGCCCTGCGCATGCGCCTGCGCCTTCCGCATGAAAACCTGACGCCTGACGCATGCGCACATGGCAGGCTTCGCCTGCAGCCCGCTCTCCGGGAGCGTTCGTGTCCCGTGCATGTCACTATCCGTGTACCACGTGACGCTGATGAGGAGCCATCTTCCTGAACGCCACAGGTCACATGTCAGGGAAGGCATACTTAGCCGGGAGAAAACAAAAACTGGAAGCTTCCGGACTGTTCCATTTAACCAAGAGTTCTACTGTATGATAATGCTAACTTTAATTGGGGGGGCGGTTCTGGGAAGGATGGGGTTACGTGCTTACTACCGATTTTCCTGTGTAGCAGCTATTTTCCTATGGGGTTACAGTGGCTCGAATGACAAATCAAAGACAACTACCTGAATTTTCCGGGTATAATCAGAGTACACCACATGAGATGGTTGATTCAAAGATCTCAAGTCCAGAATTCAAAATTGCTGCCCAATACTGTAAATTTATTTAGAACCAATAGGGTCTAACCAATGAACTAAGATATACTGTGTATCTTTTTAAGAAAAATTATTTTAATATTATAGCCTTGATCATGAAATAATACTATGTCTACATAAAAGTGTGGCTTTACAAACTTGTCCTGGAATGCAAAGGAGATGGTGGCAGTAGCAGGGACAGCCACTGAAGTTAATAGTCCCAGCAGGGAATTAACTTCCTTACTGGCTTGGGTGCCCAGGGGCTCAAAGAATGTACACAAACACTAAAAATACTATTTTTTAAAACTTACATCCCAAAACAGGAAGAAAAGGATGTCTTGAGATACTTACTTTTCTGTCTCCTGCAATATTTTCCTATGCATTACCGAAGACAAAGGCAAAATCAGGAGGAGAAAATTTGGGATCATTAAACCGAAAAGCTAACAGGGGGTAGAGAAATAGGGACCTCAGCCAAATGGAGAGAGCTCCATTTTTCCCTGCTGTAGAGCTAATCAGCTGGAAAAGTGCTTGACGCCTATCTGCACATTTAATATTAAAAAATAAAATAAATAAAAGCCAGGCAATGACCTAAGGGCCCGAGGAAAGAGTAATGAAGGGATTCCAAGGTGTAGAACGCAGAGGGCGGCTGGGGCAGAAGGACCTACCCTTGGAACTCCGTTCTGCGGTGAGCTTGGTGTTTGCGGCAGTGCCGAGCCTGGAGCCTGGCTGAGTGTCCCACCCGCCCTGTGCTCGGCTCCGGCGGAGCTTGCTGTGGGGCGCGGGGGGCTGTCGGGGGGCCGAGCTCACTGCCGGGAGCACGGCAGCACCGCTGTCCCCTCACCTAAGGCTGCTGGCCGGCATGCTTACCCGCAGCACGGCCAGGCTTCCAGGCTGCCCCCGCTACAAGGTCAACTGTGTTCAAACCGCTCGGCGCTGTGCACACCAGACCTTCCCAAACTCATTCCCGGTTTGCCTTCTCTTCCAAATTTCTCAGCCACTGCCAGCAAAGCATGTCTGAGAGTTCAGTTTACTACTTTAGCTTCTCGTAACAGTTCTAGAAAAATAAAGCAACCTCAAAATGAGAGACTCCTATCTGTTTCCCAGAATGATTCGACACGAGCAGAGTTCCAAAGGGAAGAAACAGCTGTGACCAAGGAGAAACAATTCCTGCTGCTGCGCTTCCCTCTCCTGACCATGAACAACTTCACCCAAAGTTCCAAACCGGGGCAATTTAGGCGACTGCCCTGGAAAAAGCCCAACGCCAACCCCTCCACTTAATGCATGAATGGAGCCCAAAGGAACACGGAAGCCAGACACGCGCACGAGCCTGCTGGCGTCTGAGTGCGGCGGACATCGAGCGCTGCCTGTTCGGAAGCAAAGCGCGCTCCTGCTGGAGCCGGGGCGGGGGCCTCTCAGACGCAGCCAGTCTCGAAAGCACCTTTGAGTCGTACGGGTGTAAGACTAACTTTGAATTATAGAAGTTATATGCATCTTTAAGAATCACATTTTGATGATTATAAAAATTTTTTCTATTTTACAACATAGGTTCAGCTACACTGAAAAATTACACCGCTTATTGAAATACATTTCATTTTAGAAACAGACTACTAAGAAGTCTATACAAAAACTCTAAAATAATTTCTGTAGTAAAATAAAGAGTGCGTTAGGAGAGCTACACAAAGAAGAAAATTTCCGTCTTCCTCTATAATGCTTGATATACTGTGAACCGGGCCAGCTCCACTCTGCAGCCAGCACCGAAAGCTGAAAAGAATTTATTACAAGACACAGTGATACAATTAATGCTCTGGATTAATCTCACAGCCTTCCCGATTAGTACAAAGAAAACCAGGCCTATCTCCTCTTTGAGGAGAAGTCCAGGATATAAAAGCAAGCATACCTCATCAGCTGATATGAAATTATAAAATCCCAGAAGTCGGAGTATTTGAAATTTATAAAAGTCATCAGAAAATGCAAGCAAATTGGGCTTCAGTTCGGTGGTTCCCCTGGTTTCGAGGGCAGGCCCCACGAGCGCGAGGAGGTCCCGGGCTCCGTTCCCGCGCCTGCTGGCTCGCGCAGACCCTGGCAGAGCCCGGGGCTGGCGAGGCGGCTGCGGCCCCAGCCGGCCTGGGAGGCCGAGGCTAGTGGTGCTGGGCCGCGCCGTTCTTCTCCGCCAGGTGCCGCAGGAAGCTGTCCTCGCTCTGGCCGCGGTGGTTCAAGGGCTCGCTCTTGAAGAGCGCGGGCGGCGGGGGCAGGTGGGGCACGGGCGGGATGGGCAGGTGGTGCGGGTGGTGCGGGTGCGCGTGG